AGAGAGAGAAATAAGTTACGTAGACGTAGCGGATGCACTCTTAAAAGCACGATGAACTAACTATGAGGAAGAAACTAGAATGGCGTGGGATAAAGACATATAAATCTGCTTGCATAAAAGATCATCGTGTTGATCTCTTCTCTTCGACTGGCCGACATTTTTGCGATAGACTCTCTCATAACTCTTAGACCCTGGGAATTCTCTCTTGATCGTGAATACTTTTATTTATGTGTATTTGTATGTTACCATTGTAAGTGTACAAGTATGTGTTTCTTATGCCGGTTAACCCACTTCTCACGAAGCTACACGCCTTTTACGCATGAGACGAGATCACCTTTTACACGTGAAAACGATCGTTCATGTGTGCTGTAACACACGGTCGATACTCGAGAAAGAGCTTCTTTCGTGCTAATTAACGGAATCTAAAGAAAAAAAAAGAAAAACAGAAAAGGAGACAAGTATTACGTTCTCTCTCTCTCTCTTCGTTTGCAGAAACTTATTAACTCATTACAATGTCATGTAATATTTAAGTGTCATGTAAATACTTAAATATCATTTTATTTTCTATCTATTATCGTTACTTTGTGAAATTCATCATATCAATTAATGAAATAACCAACTATTACGATACAAATATTTTAATAATATTTTGAAGTTTTGTTTTAATAAACTTAATGTTTTAATATGAGTTTATGTATAAATAATAATATTCATTTAATTTTATATAATTTTGTTTACAAGTATAACGAATAATAAAACTCAATTATATAGGATGAAATGTCGTGTAATTTTAAAATTACATATTTAGACTTATGTTTTTCATTAATAATAAATGACAATTTATTATTACTTTATAACAGAAATTTGATATAACGAATTGATAAACGAAGTACGATATTATTTTTTATAAAAGAGCAATAAAACGTGAAGTTAATGAAATTAAAAATTAACGGACAATAAAAAAAAAACATGTAAGAATTCGTATAAAATAAATTCGAACTAACTCATTGGATATTCGATTGAACGAAGCTTTGAAATTCGATTTATAGCTATAGTCATCGATAAATTATCCAATTAGAACGAATCGTTTTTCGGCGAATGTTCAGAACCCTTTTTGCGAGACAACGAATTTCTCTTCTCGATTCTCGCTAAACCCTAGGCACGCCCCATTCTTTTTTTTATTTGATCTTCAATTCTGCACGCCCCAAGACCAAATCTTTCGTGTAATTTCCAATATTTCCGAGTAGAATCGATCGAACGAACATGTGTCCTCGGCGTTCTCGATTTCACGGCAAACCTTTTATCGACGACTACGGTTTAGTACGAATTTTCAAAGTGTCAAAAAAAAAAAAGGGGTAACCGTTATAAGTTGTAACGATACTTTTTTTTTTAGGGAAAGGGTAGACTTGAATTATATTCTAGGGTCTTCAAATACATCGAAATGCAACGAATAATGCGTAACGATGAAAAATAATTTTTTTTCTTAACTTTCTAACCTTCGTCAATTTTTTCCCTAAAATTCAATCGAAGTAACTAAACATTTTAAAGATTGAAATATTATGAACGTTTTCTCTTTCGGAAGTATATTCAAATAAAAACTACTTTGCGAAATGGTTATATTTGTTACAATTAGTATGAAATTTTATAGCAAATCGTTAAAAGTATCCATTTAAAGAAAATCTTATGGACAAGTTAAATGACATTAATTGTCATTGAGAAAGCGCGAAAGTTTTCGCTAGAGTGATCGTGCTTAAGCAACCATCTCTAATCGTGAAAAAGAAGAACAATTTCACCAAGGAAGTTTATAGAAAATACTGGTGTAACAGGAAATTATGTACAACTAATATGTATGTACATTCTGATAATATTCTATCCTAGTAATAGCAAGACTATATCTACCTTTTATACCTGTTTCTTTTACTTTAACGTTCAAATTCTACAAAACATTAACTTAACCCCGACATTGAAGCGTAAATACTTGTTGGTGTCGTTGATAGCGGAAACAATTTGTTTTTTTTCTTTTTTTTTTTTTTGTACTTTCTCCACGACAACTAATTTGCCTAAAGTCGTAAAACGAGAAGTCGTATGTAAGTATAGGGGAAAAAAAAAAAGAAAAAAAACATTCGCTACATTGAACGATAAAACAAAACCATTGCAAAATTGTTCGAAAGTAGTTTAGTCAGTTCTTTGATCGATCGAATGAACGTCAAAGTAAATTCAATAGAATCAAATAAAAATGTAAATCTCGTTGATTCGACGTAACACGATAGCTGCTCGATCGAGTAAAATAAATATTTCAAAAAGAGACGAGTAAAAAGGTGAAAGTGAATTCGATAGAAACTATCTCAGGAATTATCATATGGATTTTAGCGATAATTTTGCTGTAATATTTTTTCAAAAAAAAAAGAAAAAAAAATCAAGAAAAAAAAAAGGTAGGTAGGTAGGTAGGTAGGTAGGTTGGTAGGTACGATCGATTCAACAGGGAAAAGAGCCGCGAATAAAGGTGAAAAAAAGGGTCGACGGTGATTTGCACCAGCAACGCGAGAAGTTCTGTTTGTTCTCATTGAAGAAATTATTGACAGTGCACTCAGAATATCGTGAATATGTCATGATAACAAATCGTTAAGCAAACATACGACACGTGGGTCCTGATATATTTTTCGTTCCTGTATTATACGTCACCTAGGTGTCTTTTTATATTGTTCGAGCTGAGTCAAAGAGACACGATTAAACGAAGCTCTACCCACGATGGGGATGTAAGGATAGAATTATTAGAATTCAGAAGGCACGATCTCTTTCCATTTTTTTATTATATTACTTACTTGTCTTACGTAATTGACAACATGATTGATGGACGTTTACATAATTCCTTCCTTACTAACTTACTTGTCCTATCTTTTCGTCAATCCCTTCTAACATATTTTAATTTTAAATTCATTAAAAAAAAAAAAAAAAAGAAATCTATTCTCATTTTCTAGGTACGATATCATCTTCAAGATTAATACCAAACTTCCACATCCGAAAATTTTCTAATCAAATATTATCTATATAATGTTTTCAATGTGGTATCCGCCAAAAGATATGAATTATCGAATGTTGTCTAAATAAGCTTAAATAATAGAAACCTATTTGACGTACCAAATTTGCAATTCGATATATGATTTTTACGTTGTATGACTTAGTCGAACGATGGTTTCTATAGCAATGTCATATAGGCATTATCAACTGATTAGCGGATACGACATATGGTCGTAGTTGGCTTTATTAGATTACCTGCCACTTATGTTTTAGTTACATATTGTGCGTAGCGATCAAGTCGAGACCTATGAAAGTGTATATTTCTTTATAAAGACAAAATTCATTCATCCAGGTAAGTGAACAAATTCAGATTGATCTATTACAAGATTTACATAAAGATTCTACATGAACGAACAGCAGGATATTTTAAAATTCGCTCTTGCTCTAGCCCCTGAAAATAGGCAATCCGTTATACCGTGCAGCTATTATGGCTCACAAAATGTATTATAATTTACAATAAATGAAAAACAACGATTATAATTAATCAAAAACGTAACATAATTTTTTTTTTTTTTTTGCAAAATAACAAATGATCCTACTCGATAAAATGAAATTAAGATAAATAACATTTAAAATCGTAAGTTTGTACAAGAGGATACACGTGACATATCTGATTAGTAAACGAGACAGGAATAATTATGAATCATTCTTAGAGAAAACAACATAAATGAAACATGAAACTGTACGATAAAATACGTCGAGATAAATCGTTTTGTTTTCTCGGTAGACAGAGTTAAAAAGAAGGGCGCTCGGTTGTACGCGAAATCTCAAAGCGGTGTAATCACCCTAAAAACCTCTAATCTTCTAACAAGGCAGCTACATGCTTCTGTCTTTCTCCCTCTCTTTCATTCTCTCTTCCTGTTTTTTTTTTCTTTTTTTTTTCTATGGCACGCGTCTAATGCATATAGAGAAAAGTGGGGGGTAGGGGAGAGAAAATGGGAGGAGTAAAAAGAAGGGAGAAGGACGAAGGGAGAGGAACGTTAGGTACCCCTCCGCAGTGATTATGGGGTGAACTCTTGGTACGGTGCCCCATAGAAGGTGGCCGTCGAGTCTCGTGGAGGGGGCGAAATACCCCCGGGACGGTATATATGCTCTAAGAGCCCCTTCCCACATGCACAGTACCAAATTGTACCCCGCCTAGTCCGCTCGTTCGATTCTTATTTTCTCCTTTACGTTATTTCTACTCTTCTCTTCTATTTTATTTTCTTCTATATTCTTATCTTATTCGTCTCTTTCAATTTTACTATGACGTGACGATAATACGATCAACAATATTTTTTTTTACATATTTTTCAATTCTTACGAGTTCAATTGTGATTCTGTGATCTCTTACGTGATATATATATATTTCCTGTGTTTCCAGAGGATTATACAATTTTATTGTCATCTTTAATACGTTCAAGGTATATATAATACACTACAACCCAAAAATTTGAGTACACCTACTGCATTTGTATGAAACACTTGTGAACAAGCTAAAGAATCAATTTTGTTAACAATCTTGCAATTCCTGCATGTCTTTTCTGTAACTTTGTTGTTATCAAAAATTCAGTAGACCTATCAAATTCTAACTAATAAACTTTTGTAGCAACCGATCTTATTTATGATATTATATTACAATATTTTAAACGTTCAGCTTCTTCGCTTTTATTTTCTAAGAACTGAGATGATGATGTCTCAGTAGTTTAGTTTAACTCTGATAAGGTTGGATAGAAATAATACGATGAAAAATTAGCAACTTCAATTGACGTGTATGTAAATTTTTAATCGATGGTTTATTAGGAAATGCATGAACCTGTTTGTTTACAAAATACCATGTCAATTTTCGTGTGTATAATTTAATAAATAAAGTTAAAGAGAACAAATATACTTCTATTAGTTTGATTATCGTGATTGTTTTTGTGTTATAGTGAGTATTCGCGATGTCATCGGAATATTCGTTCTGTAGCGAGGGAGGCTTCGACGAACATTCCAGTTCTTCCGATTCAGGCTTTGAAGTGAGTTTTGAATCTCCAAAACACGAACTATCCGTGGATCCACTCTTTGCCCCAGTCAAAGAAGAGAAACGTAAAAAAACTCGAAATACGCGAAGTAAAAGTCCAACTCAGGTAAATATTTTCAAGCCCCATTTTGAATTATTAATGTTATTGCTATTAAACTGGAAAAACTATTTTACAATCTGTCAATGAATTTTTCATTTGGTCAAGAATTAATTTTTGAAATATTTCTTATTTGAATCAAAAATCAGTCAAATATTGCTTGACAACAATAAAAATAGAAAGATTGTTGATAAAATATAGTAAAATGAAAGAAAGCAAATTTTGTTTGATGCTACAGGTACTCAGATTGAAAAGAAATCGTCGAATAAAAGCGAACGACCGTGAACGTCACAGAATGCACACGCTGAATGATGCACTGGAGAGATTGAGAATGGCCCTACCAACATTTCCAGAAGATGCCAAATTGACGAAAATTGAGACACTTCGTTTTGCACATAATTATATATGGGCTCTATCTCAAACTTTAGGAAATTCGGAGAGCAGTGAGGTCACCGTTAACGTCGGCAACGTCACAGTTAGCATCAGCGAAAATGGCAACATGATAACGTCATCAACCGGAAGCTGCGCTGTGGCAGCACAAAAACGACTTGGACCGAGTCATGCAACGACATTCCCCTATCCTCAAGAAAGATTCGTACCGGAATGGCAAGAATATGATTACTATAGCGATCAGAGTGTCAGTCCACCAATACCACAACAATATCAACCTTGTTACGAGCAAAGGATGTATCCACATCATCAAATTCCTCAACCACATCATCACATGGCTCATCACAACAGCATGTATCAGTGTCTTTAAGTTTTTATAATAATATCGCGTCGTCTCGTTTTTTTTCGTATAAAATTATTTTCAACGAAATAACAGACGACATTTTCTATATTTATCTGTGCCATCGAATACATTTCTATCATGCATCGAGCCATTATCGTATTTGAATATTTTCAATACTAATATGGTTCTACCGGTCATGTGTTCTCTTAACGCGAATTCATATATCGCGTAACAACAATACCAAAGTGTTTGCAAAGTTACGATAAATTTAAGGGGATATTCTGGTCTAGAAGCCTAAATTTTAGGCATTTTTCAAACTAACATAAGATAAAAAAAAAATGAAAAACATTTTTAGTATCCATTTGTTTATATGATGTTTATTAACATTTTAAGAATACAAAAAAAAATCGTGAAAAAAAAAACAAATAAAAAATTCGTAGAAATACAGGCTGGTGAAGTGGGGACTACAAAAAACAAACGGTGCACTCTGGTTGACATGATTCCAATCCTTGTAGTGATTTGAAACACAAAAATTTGGAAAATTCTTAATCAGTAAAGATGTCGCTATCGGGTGATCCTTAGCCAAAAAAAAAAATATATAAAATTCACAAAATGGCGTCGACATGAAAAAAAAATTGTTTTCTAACCCCTTTTTTTGATCTTATCGAATTTTTTTAAAATACTAAAAATTAAAATTTTTCAAAATCCAAGGATCACACGATAGAGAGATATATAAAGAAGATTTCCATCAAATTTCAAAGGAATCGATCGAGTAGAACTTGAAATATCATGTCAACCATCTCAAAAAAAGTAGTTTTGAGAAAAACGCGTTCAAAGTTTCGCGTAATAAGGGTAGAATACTGCGTCACTAAAACAGCTATATCTCCGAAAATAATTTGAATTTTGACAAATCCTTTTAATGACATATTCCTAAAAGGTTAAGCTTTGAAAATATGAAGAAAGAAAAAAAATCGATTAAATTTCTAGACCAGAATACCCCCCTTAATCGAACGAAAGTTAACCGTAATATCATCAATATATATTTACGATGCAATAACGAAAACGTTAAGACAAGGAGAATTACGACGGAGAATATATATATATATATATTTTTTACATACTGTTTCGAGATCGTTTTGTCCAAAATTTCGAACAGTTCTTTCAAAATAAATTAATCATAAATTTAGTCAATTTATGGCGTAGGAATGCGCGAAAATAACGATACGTATTATCGTAATTTCTTCTCCTTCGTAACTACTATCAGTATAACCGGTTTAATCGAGAGACTACGAGTCGATAGTCGATTAGGAGTTGTAAAAAAAGAAAAAGAAAAAGAACAAAAAAACGAAAAAGACAAATAAGAACAAGAAAAAAAAAAGAAATCAATGAACAACGCTAAAAGGTTATCGTTATCTACTTTGTAAGAGAGTAATCTATTTAAATCGAATTTAGAACGTTTAAGTTAATTATAAGTTAATTATTATTATTATATACAAGCTATATTTTTTATTAGCAATCTCTTCCTAATCCTTCGACCTCGATAGTTCAAAGTTACAAATAATTTTGATCAAACTCTTTTTCATAGACGACACGTATTAGTACGGGGGTTCCTTGATTGTTCTAGTCATCGATGTATTTTATTGTTTATTTTTAAATATAATATCGAACGCTTGATCTCATTTATTTTTATTATCTATAACGTATATGTAAGTCGATAAAAGAGAAAAGTAAAAAAGAAAAAAAAAAAGAGAAAAAGAGAATAAAATATGTGTTATTTTAATTTTATAATTAAACTAGATAGAAAAATAACGTCGTCCTCATCCCACACCAGTGCTCTTATCTTTATTACGAAATTATCCATTCAGGGAATAATATATTGTACAGACTTTATATATATATATATATATACTTATATATCAATGAATAAATCATATTTTAAATATAATCATTATCCTTGTTATCCTTCATTTAAACGATACGAAAATAATCTTCGTCAAATTAGCTAAAGGATCGATCCACTTTATAGGAATGATGAAATCGCTTCCTATTTCGAATGAAAGGACACGTGTCGCGGCACGTTTCTTTTAAAGGAACAACCGTAGGACAGATGTATCACAAATCGTGCACGAGATTACACCTACCCGACTAATCCTAACGGATTACATCAGGAACGTGACTTTGAAATGCTTAGTAAATGTATCATCTACCAATTGAAAGGCAGGTTATCCTACCGCAAAATCATGTCATTCCATGACATTCCCTAACAATTACCTGACATTTATAACATTTCATAGAAAATGTATGAATGATAACTAAGTACTAGAACGATTATGCATAATAAAATATCGTTCTATTTAGTAAATCGGAAAGCGAAGATAAAACGATTTCCATAACAAGAGTAAGTAGGCGTTTTCACCCTCTTTCTGATCGAAGTGCCGATCGAAGTGTTAGAAAAATAAATAGCTGAATACGAATACTTCATTGAATGGAAAAGCCAACCGAAAAGAAAAATAGAGACGAAGACAGTCTATCAAAACAATCGTGAAAAGCGCAGTATGGAAGGAAAATATTTTGCTTCGATTTCGCAACTTTGTTCGTTTCTCTAACATCGATAAATATAATAGAGGATTCAGACAAATGTTTGATAAAACACTGACTGATAAATTTAATTCAATATATCCGAAATACAAATAGAAAAGTGAAGAAACAATTATTAATTTTCTTTAATTATCTTGTATCAATTTTGATGACGATAATTTGTCGAAATGACTTTATATATTCGTATAAATTAAGCAAAATTAAGAAATATATTTAACAGATATTTTGCCAAAGACATGTCATAGAAATTCGTCACGTAGTTTAACAATTCGATCAATAATTTCGTATATAGATAGAAACTATTTGCAAACAGCACGCAAGCTGCGACGAATCCGTTAGCACGCTCGATAGTTTCCCCAAATCTTGCCAATAATGGTAATAGTTCAATGGAACTATTATGTCGACGATATATCACTGTGTGCATAACGTGACAGAAGGTTTAGGATCCAGAGATTCTATTGGGATCCAAGATTTTAGGGGATTCCATCGTTTTTGTCGATACCTTTACCCCGCTCCTAATAACCAATCAAACATTGCTAAAATGAAATCTTTCAACATTCAAACTGGCTATAATGATTAGATAAAAATCTATGACAAAGTTGCTATATCTGTAATTTTTAAATTATTGTCACTTTAACAAACATTGATTACATTGATTAATGTAAAAAAAAAAGAAATGTTGCAATTATATCAAAAACCAATATTGATTTTGTAATTTCGTTTCATAATTCGAAAGAACTTGTACGAACATTCTGTATTTAAAAACAAAAAAATCATCGTACAGCAAAGTAGAAAACTTTTTTAGCTTACTCAGACAACTCACGGCAAAGTCGTGATTTCACTTTAATCGACCTTTCGTTGGGTCGTTTCTGTCGAGTGCACATATCGATCGCATGCACGGCCGTCATTGTGTTGGGGTGCTGGTCTGTACGGTGACATACTGGTGGCTGACAGCCTTGGCTCCACCGTTGAGAGACAGAGAAAAAGACTGTATAAAGGGAGAAAAAAGAAAGAAAGAAAGAAAGAAAGAAAGAGAGAGGGAGGGTAGTTCAGCTACGAATTCGAAAACAGGAGAGAAGAGGGAGCATTTTCCTAATTCAGAAAAATTCGTGAAATTACCTTGACCGAATCGTTGAGCACTTAATCGAAGATTAATGGCCATGACTGCGAAGCAAAATTGCTTCCTGCAGTAGTAAACGAAAATGATCGATTTTATTTTGTTCATGAACAAAATTTCCAATCTTCGAGATTTCTAAACAATATCACGTATTTAAAAAAAAAATATATATATATATATATAAAAAAGACGTGAATAATCACATTCTTGTTAGATTCAATTTTTTAATTCTATATGAAATTTCATCGGTTACAACGTCATCCCCTGTTACGTAGTATAAATTTGTTTGTTTTTTTTTTGTCAGAAAATAAGAAAGAAAGAATAGGGAACGTGTTTACCCTAAAAGACTATCGACGGACACACAGACACGGGTAGCAAGGCAACACGATGAAATAAAAAGGAGAACTCGAGAAAGATCTTTAAGCGTCGTATTTCGGCATCTGTTTAGCTCGTGCTAGCTCGTCGTATTCGTACGTAGGTACTGCTGCCAGTAGAAAATACATACATGCGTGGGGTAGAAAGACGGCTTTTCATTGTGAGTTGGCATTTGCAGGCTTTTGTGGTAAACCACAAACAATGGACGTTGGAACAGTAGTCGTACGTCATGGAACTTGCCCTCTGATTTTCCTCCTCTTCGGATTTATCTATACACATAAACGAAGATCGGTTTGCTAGTAAAATATATCAAGTCTAGTTTTGTTTTGAACTTTTTTTCATTGTAGATTCGTCAACAATGAAAATAGTTTAGAATTGATTGACAACAATCTCAATATTAAATAAGAATTATTCATTTTTAATCAGACGATACGTCAGCGTTTCATCCAAGTCGAACATAGAGACTGAAGAAAGTTGACAGTGACTATCGAAAATAAATATAAGTACCGAACCAAGTACAGAGTACTTTGACTCGCGATCGAAATATAGGGGACAGATGTCTACGGGGGGCAGGTGTACCCCACTGTACGCGTGCCAACCAACCCCCCACTGTGCTGCCATTCAAGACTATAATTTACTTGAAGAATGCCCGGCCTAGCTAGGCATTCATCCCGGGATGACGTGAGCCAGTCCCTGTTTCATCGAACCTCCGAGTCCTTCGAAGTCGATCGTTCGTCCCCAGCTTGCAAACCATAAGCGATAACACCACGAATTAACGATAGACATTTACCAGACTTTCTCTTGATCAATGAAGTTTTTCTCTTTTGTTCATTTTTATTTTTGAAAAAAAAAAAAAAACTCAATTCAATCATCAATCACTGATTTATTGAAACATATTTAAACAAATCAATAATATTTACCTCGTGTATTTTAAATCATCTGAAAATTTGTCAATAACTATCAAATGTTCATACGCGTATTATTAATCACCATGAGTAGTATTGACACCCTAGAATCAGACTTTAATTACATACAAGAGCATGGATTAGTGTCTATGTTAGAACCGCCTTGGACAAATCATTGATTTAGTTTCCTCGTGGATCGTTCGCGGAAGTACGCGTTTTATTGGGTATATAGGGTGAGCTTACGTAGGATTACACGCGCGTTCAAAGCGCATTTGATCTCGAACGGTGAGTCTGTATGCGTTTTATTTGAATCAGGGGTGGAGTTTGTTCCTTGTGTGGACTTAGCTAAAGAACAAAAAAAAAACGAAAAGATAAAAAAAAACAAATAAAATACGACGAAACCTAGGAGAGACAACGTTTACACGAATTCAAATTGAAATGCACCTATTCGATCGAATAAATTCAAATAAATCTTTAATGCACTATTAACAATACTTTTAAATTTAAATATCTCCGAAGAATTTGATAGTTGTAAATTGAACAAACGGTAAATTTCATAGAAAGCATTGAACAGCTAAATATAACGGTGATGAATATTGAATTTCACAATTGTTCTCGCATAATCCACTAAATCGTCGATGAACAGTAACTTAATATCATAACTGAGCTTGTTCAAATTGATGAGCTAACCACTAACCAATAAATAGAAACTTCATATTGTTAGAACTACTTCTTAAGAGAAGACAAAAAAAAAAAAAAAGAATATTATTGAATGGGAGAATGATTTCACGCAAGCGTTATTCACATGAATGGCAAGACCGATCTAACGCTAGCATGGCAAACGGTCAGTTGCCCGTAAAATTTGAAACTCGCTAAAGAACTTATGATGGAATAATAAGTGATCGGACCGTTTAAATACGCGCCATAAATTTCATTCAAATGTTCTGACATCTTCGAACAAGCAAATCTTAACAAAAGACGATTGTGAAAATGTATTATACATAAAATATAAAATAGAAAATAATTTATATAATACATAATTGAATAAAAATTTTGATTAATATTTTTTGAAGAAATTACGTAGAATCTCTATGAAAAAAAAAAAATAAAATAAAATTAATGTTAACAGCATAGAAAATAATAATTCATAAAGATGCGAAATATATGCAATGTTATTCCTCCACTTTACACGGTGCCCGTGTCCCATAAGCAGTCAAGTGGTGTGGTGCCGGTAGCTGCTCGTGCCTCGTGAATTTTTCTATCCTTCTCATACCCAAGTAAAAATCCCTCGGTTTGTCGTCTCTTCTACCCTCCGTTTCCCCCTTCGGACACTGGCTGGCAGCTCATTAAACACCCACAGCAACCCTCGGGCAAAGCCGAGCCCTCACCCTGATTTAACTATTGTTCGATTCGTCAATGTATACGTACGTACATGTTCCTTCACATAAATATACACATACACGCTCACATATACATGGTCAATCGTCGTAGACATCAACGATGGCAGCACCTTCGACTGGCGAACGCGTTCGCCATCATCGAGGGATGACGGCAACTACGACCATCTGTCCGTATTTCGGTTCGCGCCAACTCCAAGTAAGAACCACTTACGTGCGCAGTGGTTCTTACTTTGATACATGAGAGAGAAGAGAAAGAGAGATAGAAAGAGAAAGAAAGTGGGGATAGGAAAACGAGATTTAGTTGGAGAATGCAGGATATACACGTGTCTGTTGAATTCGCAACCTCCCTCAGGGTTGATTGGTTAACGAGCTTTCTCCTCCTTGAATCGACTCTTTTCCTGCATTTTTTATCAACTATCAAAACTTTCACGGAATATCGAAATTCGTGTTCGACCATGTGAAAATTTATCAATAAAATATTTACAATAAAATCAAATAATAACTTTCGGAAAAATATCCTATTGTAATATTGATTCTATCTAAACAGAAGATAAAAAAGAATGCTATTTAAAAGACAGGTGCAACTAAAAACTCTGTACGATGATCTTTTGTTCATGATTTATCCATTATTTTAACTGGAATCGTATCGTTGTAGTATTGAGCACCACCGGAAGCAAAGACATTGACGTGTCCCGACTACGACCGGTACACCGGTTTTGATTGTGATCGTTTCAACCCCATTCTTACTCCTTCTTATTTTCCCCTTTCCCTTTCTTATTCGACCACCTCGCGTTCTAACTGTGCACAAACCCTACATGTACATTATTATTTCATAACAATCGCACCGTAGCTGGGATGATAACTGTTATATATATATATATATGTTCTATCACGCGATGTCTGTCACGCTTCGTAGGATAAGTCATCGCTTCGACAAAAGATCAGTATTTGATATCTATCTTTTCCAAGTACATAAATACATATACCTTTTAAAACTGCAAATTATAAAAACTATATATATTATTAAATTTAAAAAAGTAGGTCATTGAAAAACGATCATATTGACTCAAAGACGACTCCTCATCTATTTTAATTAATTTTTTTTTATACTAAAGAAACACGATAGGGTGGACGATGGCTCGTCCGTTTGTCCAATGGTCCATTTCTATTATTTGATCATCTGCTAACGAGTTTAATTTCCATTTAATTCTTTACCTTTCGTAGTGGAAATAAAACGAATTAAAAATCTATAACGAGTGACTTCGTATATGTAGAGGTACATACATCCGTTTCTATCGACTTCTCAAGAACACTAACAAAAATCTTGAAAGTGTAGCATTCATGGAAGTCGTTCAAGAAAACATACGCTTTTTTACGTGTGTTTACATATAACATACGTATTTTTATATAATAAAAATAACTTTCAAAGTAAAATCAATTTAATATGTGGCTCTCTTATTGATTTTTCATCAAAATTAAATACAAATTTCTTTCGTTCATTTTATCAAATAATTTGATTTACAATATAAACATATCTCGTGTAAATAATGTCTACCTTTGAATTAAATAAAGTTTAAAAAAAAAAGAAAAAATGAAATATTAATCGGATACTTTTCTTTTTTTTTTTTTTTCTTTATTTTCACACGCACCTCAAATTTCTCACGCGTGCGTCTTATAGAATATAAAAATTGAGATTCAGCCGTTAATACGAAATTTTCACGGAAGATTTTAACGGAAGGAAAGGACCACCACGAATACATAGGGCCCCAGCACGAAATTCTCGTCGAAGCGTGCGCCCATTTTTCACGCTTCTTCTCCCACTCCCTTTCTCTCCATACTAAATGTTGAAAAGAAGAAAAAAAATCTAAGCGGTCCCTTTGAAATCCACCACCTTTAGCGGCAAACATCTAAGATATCTAGGATCGCGGTTAGTCGGTGATTGCAAAGACTAGGATTTTCGCGCTTTTGACCCTTCGGGTTGGGACGATCATTATAATCATCATCCCACTCAAGACGATAGATTTTTCTTTTTTTTACTCTTTCCCTCATGAAAAATTATTTCGAGTGAGTTTCTCTTTGAACTTTCGATCGGCCGATCGCGAACGTGAGACTCGAAGACTAGGGTGCATTTCCTGATACTTGTGGTAAGAAAAAGAAAGAAAAAAAGAAAGAAAAAAAAGGGGGAAGGAAAAGAAACAGTTCTTTTTTTTTGTTACTTCTTTACTAATAATCGATTAAAAATCGTTCGAACGAACGAAACCGTCTGCCGGAAGTTTCAACTGATCCTTGGTATAAAAACTTTATAATAATACCAAAAAAAAAAAAAAATAGGAAACCGACTGATCGATTAATACCACGAAGCATTTTTTTTCATTTACTTGCTTCCACAATGTCGTTATAGTTAAGCAAAAAAAAAAATGACAAACCATGAAACAACATCCTCTCGACGAATTTGTTCACACACACACATATATATATACCGCAAGGTATCAGCCTAAGCAGGGAGAAAATAGGAAAATCAAACGGGTCTTGGTTTATTCCTGACGTCCATAACGAATCGATTTTAATGCATTACGAGGGTGAGCAAAGCGTTTAAACCACCAGTTCCTATAATTTCAAGCTACTTAACCATTTTGAAAAGATTTATCAGCACGAATTTTTAATCAAAAAATTATCTACGATTTTTATATTTTTCAAGTGAAAACTACTTTAGAATCAGGGAGTGATTTGAAAATCGTGAAACGGAAAAACATAAAGCTGATGAAACAAAAATAATTAATTAATTAATAAAATTCAATAATATAATTTAATAATTCTATATATTTAATTAATTAATTAATAAAATTCAGTGTAACAATATGTTTGTCCACTAATAATTCCGAAACTATACTCAACTTATCTTAATGAAATTTGCTTTTATTTCACGTGATTTTTTCCAACTTACCACATAGCACAATTGTTATCGCGATTTTTTTTTTTAAATTATTTTTTAAATACTAATATAAAGATTTTTATTTAGACGTTATCTAGGTTCTGTAAGATTCTTTCAATAGATGGCACTGTATTACAATTCAATTACCTTCGAAGCTTGGTTTTCTTTGAAGGTTTCACTTCTACCGTGTTCATTACATATATATTGTCTATTATTAAATTGTTAAAGTGCGTTAAAAAGATTTCTTAATAAAATCACGCTTCCATCTTCGATAATCACTGACGCTTGCTCAATTCGAAGATAATAGGGCTTCTGAAACCTAAAGTAACACCTAACAAGATATAAGGTCTAAAGACAAAGACGTTATAATAACTGAGAACAAAGTCTAAAGATGTCAATTAAATCAGAAAAATAAATCGTTAAATGAATTCTCTTAATTGTATAAACAATTAGAAATATTTCTCATAAGTTATTAGAAATGTTTTCACTCGTAATTATCTTTTGCGGATCCATTTAATCGGCTTACAAGCCACTCTTCGACACTTTCCAACCAATTGGACGAACAACCCGCAGAGTAGTTTTCGCATCCTCCCAAAGTATAATATTCGGCACGTGCCGGTCACGTGTCTAGCTTGATGGATCTCACATGTGCGCTTCGTTTATGCGCATTTGGTTACGTTTAAAAGGAGCAAGGTGTTCTCCATAAATAACAACTATCTTTCCTTTCTTGTATTTAGAATTAAAAAAAAAAAAACGTTCCAAAAGATAATAACAATAAAATAATAATAATAATCGGATCGTCCGCTATGAAGTCGCGTGCTAACTCGAGTAGCTTAAGGGACACTTAAAAAAAAGGTATATAAGTAAAGAAGATTATGTTTTTTTTTTTTTTTTTTATATATGAAAAGATCTCATGCTGTTCTAAGTAAAAATGGTTAACAACAAAATCTTATTAGAGAAAATGTTAATCATTGAAAACAAATTTGTTAATTATTGAAATAAAGCTTATTTGACAATGATAACAACAAAATCTTATGAAACAACATTTAAAAGAAAAAACAAGCACAATGGGAAAGAGAAATTAAAAAATCCTACTTCAGTCTCTGCCTTATTTCTGTTTCTGCTGTATAAATAAATAATATTACAATATAAAAAATATTTTCATATAAAACTCAAATTCTTAAATGAAAACTATTACAATAATTAACAAAACTCTAAAATGATAGAGATTGAAATTTTCTTTAAAATAATCAATACAAACTAAATTCTAATATTGTTCTAATTTGTTAAATACGATTATATAACAACCTGTTTTTATTTTTTTTTTGCATAATTTCCAACGATTCTGAACTTTTCCCACAAATAGGTCCAACCGTATTACTTACTTCACCGATCGATCTTACATGGGCTTGACCTTTAATCGAAAAGAAAAGTCTGAACATTGTGGGCATCGTAATGGTGGTCGCGTGCTTGATCCATCGACGCACGTGATTCCCGATGTGCGATTGGAAGGGAAAACGCCTTTCGACAATCCTGCTGAGAAATTGATAGCTCGACCAAGTTCACACCACCGACACGTGTTCTAAGACTAGCCTGTAAAAGTGCCCTCGTAATTGAGATATCATGATCGCTTTCACGCCAACGACAGATTCTTAAGCTAATTCCGTGACGACGGCACGTGCCACCCCGGAATGTACACGTGATCCTTCAAACCCTCTTTTAACCGTTAGAATTATTCAGAATTATCTTTTGTGTGTCTTCTATTTGTTCCGTTTACATTGAACTTATAACGATTATAAAACGTTTTTTCTAAGCTATACTTAAAAAGATAATTTAAATCATTTTAAAATGCAATATACGTAGGTTGGAACTTAAATAGTGGCAACTATTTATTCACAACCGATACAAAAGAGTTACATGTTTGATCCTGTTACTGTCCTTTAAAGTAGTCACCAGCGTTGTGTAGAACCCGTTAGCAGAGCCTGTTCTGTTGATGGTGGAAATGGAGCGGTCTACTGTCTGTCGAATCTCTGGAACAGTTCTAAAGCGAATGCCACGATGGGTTCCGCATGAATTGACGGAAATGCAGAAGAAATGGATGCGTTACGACGCTTGCTTGCGCTATGAGCGCAAAGGAGAGGCTTTCTTACGCCGTATCGTAACACTGGATGAGACATGGCAGTACTCATACAAAGAATTATAATCGGCCCATCATTAGGCCA